ATAGATATATATAGATATAAGAGACATTTAAAACCTTCTATTCTAAATATTATTTTAACAATTGCAAGTTATAAATTTTTTTTTATTATAATTTTATTTTATTTTTAATTGTAAGAAAAATATTTCTGCGTGTAGCTTATAGAAAATAGATATCTATAGTATAAAAAATGTTAGACTAAACCAAATAAATTGAATGGTTCATATAATCAATATTTATAATTTTATTTTTTGATGTTTGAAGGAACTTAAATATATCTATGTTTAATGTTGTAGTTTAATCTGGCAATAAAAGAACTACCAGAGGTTTCAGCTGATGCTAAGAGAACATTATCTGGGGAGATAGTAAGTTCAACTATACCTCTATGCATAGAAATTTCTTTGAAAACAGTAGAGGGTGACAAGATGGTTTTGGAAACTTGGAGCCTTGGCATTTTACCAGAGCAGAGTGATCCAACTGTACGAGTAACATATACTGTATATAACAGAATGGGGATTTTATTGAAATCCTTAATTTCTGTATCAAGAGTTACGCCTGCTTACAAACTAAGTAGACGACAAGGACCTGATTCTTATACTATGTGTTATCGAATATACATGGGAGAACCTCAACTACACAATTTAGGTACAATTGAATTTAGTTTATTATTTTAGAAAATTCATAATTATTTTATTATTTTTTACATATCTAAAAATTTATTTTTGTGAATAACGTTTATATTATTTCTGAATTATTTTATAATTATGAAAATAATTGTGTCAATGCTCTAGTTTTCTATTATGTATTTATATATGCACAAGATTCCAAAATACATACATACAATCATATAGTATAATTTTTTGTGCTAGAAGAGACAATGCTTCTTCTGCAACAAAATTTCATCCAATAATTTGTAAACGAGTGCAATTTGATTAAAGCTAATAAATGAGCATTTTAAGTTAAGCATGAATGAGCTGTGCTTAACAATTATGATATTTAAGTATTACTGTTTTGAAAACAATTTAAACAAAAATTTGCTTTTATTCTTGATTAATTTAATTATCAACGTATAGTTTATTGATTAAGTAAAAAAAGAATTTTCAGTATATTAATAGAAATCCATTTGTTTGCAAATATTTTAATAAATATCTACTTTAATATATTTTACAAGAATTTATATATTATATTATATATTATATTATATATTTTTTGTTTCTAGTATCATCAATTGAAATAATTGCGATGAAGAAGCCTTAATAAAAAAAAGTTTTTTGATACATCTTATTTTACGAGAAAAAAATTTTTTTTTAAATTTTACAATTATTCAGACATTATCTAATTTATTTTTACTGTCTTTGAGATTTAGGAATAATGTTTAAAGCAATGATGTAACGTCTTAATTCTAAAATTAAGTAATTCCATCACCTAATATATTTTTTTTTAATCTTAAAATATTTATATAAAATGTAAAACATTCTGTATTGAAATCTATATTTAAAAAAACTTTTTATTTTACAGGAACTTTTAGTGCTCATTATGTCATATACTATATAAGATTTATTATTTTTTTTTTATGTAAGATTTACATATTTTTTTATATTTTATATTTATTCATTTTTTATTAAATGTTATTTTTGTGTTATAACAGGTGATAACTATAAACATGTAAGAGTAGGTCAATTGTGTACTCCAGTAGGTACTATACATCTGTCAGTCTCTTATAGAACAAAAATGACTATATCACCCACTCACAAGGGACGAGATTCTATTATGCTTAAGAGTGATCATTTTCATTCAGATTTAAGTCCACGTCACGCACGATATCAGCAGAGGTCAGTAAATATGAAATATTTAGAAGTATATAATATATAAGTATAATAATAAGTATATAATGGTTATATAAGTATAATAAAATCATATATATATATGTGTGTATGTATATTTTAATAATGTTTTGATTAAAACTTGAATATATAGCGAGGAAACATCAAAGTCCCTTAGTGATACCATTAAAGTAGGAGCATTTGTAATAAATAAGCCCGTCATTGTCAATGAGGAGGACTTGGTGATACCGGACGTCCCATTCAGTTCTCTATTAACACCTAAGCAAACATCACCTCCTCCAATATCATTAGTGGAACCTAATATAAAGACTACAATGACAGCTGCTACAATCGATAGTAACAATGGGAATAACGAAAGACTTAGTAATGATAATATAGCTACAAAATGTGTATCTCAAAAATGGATCTAGAAGAAGTAGTTGTTCGATGACTAGTGCCAACGATGATTTTATCATGGTAGATTTGGTAATTGATGATCTTAATCCGAATATGATATCACGATAATTTATTATGTTTTATAATATCAATTTTGTCTAATAGCGAATAAAAATATTTTGCTTAAAAAATATGATACATTTTTGCTTTAAAACTTATTAAGTTAAAATTTATTAATTTGAAATTTCAATTTAAAAGATTATTTAGAAAATATAGATATTTATGTAGAGAAAATGAAGGGAATCTTAAAGTCAAACTTCTCTAATGAGAAAGTGTTAAAATATGTACATGATATGTTTATATATATCAGTATACAAATATTTGATGAATATGATATTTTACACATTAATTTTATATATATATATATATATATATATATAGTAAGTAA